CTCGATTAATCGTAAGAATAATCGATAGATTACTCGATTACTAAAATATTCGTTTACAACAGCCCTACTATATACATACAGAAATTAAACAGGGAAATTCTTGAAAATGCTTGAATTTCATTTCAAGGTTTTCCAGGTTTGGAAAGTGTTTTGATTTCTGCATAAAATCCTTGTAAGCTTTTGATTTTCAAACTGCACAGTGTGGTAATAGATTGAAATCTAACGTTTTGATTAAAAGATTAAATTAACAGTTGAAACCAGATATTGTCTTCCCTCCAATTTTGTCCTAATTTATCCCTAAATTTTTTGAACACTCTTGGTTTACAATGTTGCAAAATCAAATTAAATGGAATATAACTTGTGTTAAATAACTTTAACACAAGAAAAAGTGTAAAATAATGTTGATTGAGCTGTAAATGCTGCAAGCTGAGGCTGTTTGACGTCTGTGTGCCTCTGCTGCCCCCTGAAGGCGATGTCCATGGTCAGTACTACGACCTGCTCCGACTCTTTGAATACGGAGGCTTCCCTCCAGAGAGCAACTACCTGTTTCTGGGCGACTACGTGGACAGAGGGAAGCAGTCGCTGGAGACCATCTGTCTGCTTCTAGCTTATAAGATCAAATACCCAGAGAACTTTTTCCTGCTGCGCGGAAACCACGAGTGCGCCTCCATTAACCGAATCTACGGCTTTTATGATGAGTGTGAGTACCGGTTGGTGACTTCAGTGGCGTTGAGATGTTAAGGAGCTGCAGCATGTTTATGCTTTCTTTGCTTCCAGGTAAGCGACGGTATAACATCAAGCTGTGGAAAACCTTCACAGACTGCTTCAACTGTTTACCTGTGGCTGCTATTGTAGATGAGAAAATATTCTGCTGTCATGGAGGTAGGCCTGGTTCTCCTGCTACTCGTAAAAAAAAAGAAAAAGATGAAAGAGTGAAACGGTTTCTCATTTCTCCTCCAGGTTTGTCTCCGGACCTGCAGTCGATGGAGCAGATCCGCAGAGTCATGCGGCCCACAGACGTTCCGGACCAGGGCTTGCTGTGCGACCTGCTGTGGGCCGACCCGGACAAAGACGTGCTGGGCTGGGGCGAGAACGACCGCGGCGTCTCCTTCACGTTCGGGGCGGATGTGGTGGCCAAATTTTTGCACAAACATGACATGGACCTAATATGCAGGGCACATCAGGTAGATTTTAAATGTTTTATCATAATGTGCTCTTCTGTTAGTCTGTTTAAACACAGACTAGATCAAAAGCTTCAGGATTTATGGAATATATTTAATTTATCTCATGTCCCAATCTAAATTTTGGGTCAGTTTTGCATTTTTGTAAAGCTCATTGCAGTTTTTTTTTTTGTTGTTGTTCTGTGGCCTTCATTGCCATCTTTAAATATTTTCTACCAGAAGCAAAGAAAACATCATGAAAACTGGAGATTTTAAGTATTGGCTGGAAAAGACAAGTGTTTTATTGCTGACTTACCATCCAGACATCACTTGTTGCATTATTGGACCTGCCGGAGTCTCCTGCGGTTCGCCTTATGTACCGATGTTCTGTTGTATAATTGTTGCTGTTTGCAGCCGTTTCCACATGCCAGTGTAAACACTGAGTTGGGGGGTGTGGCCAGCAGCAGCTTATTTGGATTTAAAATAACAAAAAGCCTTAAACTTGTTCAACAAAGCATCGTATGTTACCTTTAAGGTGCTTAGCTTCTGATGTTTGTGATTAGTTTGTGTATTTCATAGCGAATGTAGATTCTTACCTTTTACCTCTTCCAAACGTGGGAAAAACGTCTTATTAGTAAAATCAGTGGAACTAGAAGTTTTTCATCAATATTAAGAAATTATTTACTTAAAACAAACTCCTATTTCTTGCTGAAAAGTTACTTGTAAGTTAATTTTATCTCATTTAAATTTGCATGAAAACAAGACCAAAAATACTTTGCAAAATATTATGTGTATCAGATCAGAGTTGATGTTCAAATTGTCCATTATTGGTTTGAGGCAAAATGAGCTGGATATTTGTTCCTGCAACTTTCTTACAATCTCTAGTTTTCATATGTTACATACCCAAACCCAAATGATGTAGAAATATCTAAAAACCTCTCTAAAATCCAGAAATATTAAGTTTTATATAAAGGAGCCCTGATCAGGAACGTGGTGTTCCCTAGGCTTCCCTCCTCGGAGTGATGGATGGTGAAAGCTTGTTTGTAATATTTGAATTTGATGGTGTAAGGGAGGCGTAATTAAGCTGTTGTTGTAGACGTGGCGACACTGAAACCTCTCGTGTTCCTGCATGTTTCTACTCATGGAAGAGCTAACAGGATTAAAAGGTTCTTACTAGTTTATGGTCAGCAGTAATTTTCTAAGACTTCCTGATGCAACTTCTGACTCCTCTTTTTCTGTTCGCCTCGTTTTAACTCTGGTTTTCTCTCGTCTAAGGTGGTTGAAGACGGTTATGAGTTTTTCGCAAAGAGGCAACTCGTCACTCTTTTCTCAGCTCCCAACTATTGTGGAGAGTTTGACAACGCTGGTGCCATGATGAGTGTGGATGAGACGCTCATGTGCTCCTTCCAGGTAAGGCAGGAAGTCTACTTCGTGATCATTTCTTTAACATTTGCTGCCAAGCAGACGGATTTACTTTAGCTTAACGTGTTCTGCATCACTTATTCCGCTTGTTCTCTGAAGGTCTTTCATCATGTTTGAGTTGATCTATTCAGACCTTTAGAGAGCCAGGAGAAATGTTGATCAATACAACGCTGAATATTTAGTGTTTTCACACCTGATAGTCTGGTAGAATTGGTTTAATTGAGGACCAAAGTTGCAACATTTGCTACATTTTCAGCTGCTGCAGTTCACTTTCACAATGTGCATGCCAAACCAAACCCTTGGAGAAATCTGTTCCCCTCCTCACCTGTGGGGTGCTATGCTAAGAACCACTGAAAGAAATTATACAAAAACCTCTGAAGAAGACACTGAGTTCAACTTCCTTCTTTATGAAATGTAAACAAAATGGAGTAACATCAGATTTTTGTTGTAGAATTTCTCTTTTGTCTTTGGTGGAAAATCACCAGCTGTTTCTCCCACTAGCGACAGACTCATGTTTGTTTTGGTTGTATTTACCCAGAATGCCTTGCGCTATAGTCCACTTCCTGCTTTAGGAGTGGACTCTGGTCCTGGTTGGCGTTCAAACCATGCCAGAGTTAATTTGAACCGAACTGAGACCGAGGTTTGTAGGTGGACCAGAGTTCGCTTTCTTAGTCCGCATCAGAGTTTAATTACGCAGGAAGTGGACTACAGCGCAGGGCATTCTGGGTAAATAAAACCAAAATAAATGTCTTGCGCTAGCTGTAATAAATGTCTTGCGCTTGCTGTTTTTGGTATTTTACCAAAAACAGAAATCCTACAACTGCTAAAATCTGACGCTACTCCATTTTTTATTTACGTTTCATGCTGAAGGAAGTTGCGCTCAGCGTCTTATTCAGAGGTTTTTGTGTCGTTTCCGTCTGTGGTTCCTGGTGCAGCGCCCCCACAGGCGAGGAGGGGAACAGATTGCTCAAAGGATTTGGTTTGACAGTGCAGTGCAAAAGCAAGACGTAGCAGCTGGAAATGTAATATTCTCATTTTAAATGTCATGTTTTTATTAGCTGTAAGTGGAAAATCATTGTACCTCGCAAAAATAAAGGCTTTAAAACATCCATGTTTGTGTTATTAATCTGTTTTCAATAATTCTCTAATTGATTAAATGGCTTCCCTCTCCATATCTTGTAAACATTTGCATGTTTTGTGTGTTTTATGTCGAAAAGGCAAAGTTTGCATCAGCAAAAGCTCACTAATGAAAGAAGTTTTAAGCTGATGCGTCAAATTTTTTTGTAGGAGTTCCTTATAATCTGACAGATTTAATATAAATAACTTAACACTTAAGGGAGTGTTGAAGTTTTTTAAACAAACTCTGTAAATGTGGATCTGGAAAATGATTAAGAAAACATTTAAAAGTCATTCACTGTGCTGTCTCTGCCGGTTTAATTACAGATTTAATTTTTTCTGTTTTGTAGATTTTGAAGCCAGCAGATAAGAAATTGTATCCTTACGGCGGCGGCGGAGGAGGAGGTGTGGGACTGGGAAGACCCGTCACTCCTCCACGGAACGCAGCCAAGGCCGGCAAGGCCAAGAAATAACACGCGCTGACTTCCTCTTCCTACGATTCACCACCCTTCGTCGTTCCAACACCTTTTTTTATCATTTCTTCCTTCCTCTCTACCTCCCAAACTTGTCCCCTTCGTCGGCACTGAACAGCAACAAAGACATCCAGGGTTCAGTCGGGTTTTTCTCTCTGAATGAAACACTTTTTGAACGTTTATTTTGCTTTTTGTGTTGTATTTGTGTGGATATGTGAGCGAATGATCCAAAGAAAGTTGCTGTATTCACCATGTACTTCCCCCTCCCCCTTTCATGTTCCTGTTTTCCTGTTTTTTATGTAAAGAAGAGTTGTTTTTTTTGCCTGTTTTTCATGTAAATCATACCTGGCTGCAGGGCAGAGCGGATGGGTGCCATGAAGAAGAGAGCTTTGGCTGTTTATGTTGAGGTCTGGCACTGTTTAATGCTAAACATGAGCTTTTGTACATTGGCTGGGAGGGAAAGGGGTGGCGATCACAGGTGGGTATGAGGTGAATTCACTAGATTTATTTTTCTTCTTCCATTTTCAGAACCAATCATGTGAGATCACGATCATGGATGTGATAATAGACGCTTGTTTTTGTAGATAACTGACACCAGAATGGGTTTTTATTTTATTTTTATTTTTTTCTCTCTTCTTGTTTTTAGTTCACTCAAAGCTAAAGATGAATAAAAGTAACCTTTAATTTGAAGTACATCATCATGCTCATCACTTATTTGTCAGTGGCTGCTTTTCATTTGTCGTGACTTTTAAACTAAAAAATATCTTAAGACATAAAGTAACTGATAATTATGATTATTTTTTGCTCTGAATTCTGAACAGGTTTTGACTAGAGCTGGGCGATATGGCTTAAAAAGAATTTTTAAATTAATTTTAGATTTTAATCAGTTTTTTTTCTCACTTCCCTTTCTAAAAAATAAATTATAAATGACAAAATATTTTCAAAAAGTGGCTTTTATTTCAATCATACCTTCTGTGATCTGTCAGAGAATCAGGGCCAAGCTACGAGAATGTTTAAGTACAAGCGTATAGGCATAATATTAACAGAAAAAAGATGGAATTTGACCAGAACAAAAACATCTTAAATTTATCAGAAAAAACTTGTTTCATTAAATAAAAAAAGATCAGGATTTTAGTTAGTTTTCTTCAAAATAGTAGTTTGCATGAACGTTTCAAAAATTACTGCCTGGCTCTAATGCTTCATTTGTAAAGTTGACTTGAATTCAAAGTCCAAATAAATTGCTTTAAAACGCACTTATCAAGATGGCCGCTAAAGGAGTGAATTGGTGAAAAAAAAAATACAGATTTTCCACAAATTAAATCCTTAAAACACAATAAGACCAATTTATCGCCCAGCACTAGTTAATTTAGTTTTAATAGATTTTGGTTTAATCTTTGCTTTGGTTTGTTTTGTGTTTTTTTTTATGTTGTCATCAGATCCAAAGTGTAATCAGAACATCTCGCACAAACAAGCACAACTCCACATTAAACTGGGAACGTGAGGCGTTCATGAGTCCTTTAAACCTTTCAGCGTGAGTGAAATATTATACATTTACAATAAATGTATAGACTTATTCCAGCTTAAAGTTAGCCGGGTTAAAAACTGCCTCTTCTTCTACGCTTCGCTTCGTATTGAGGGTCTTTAAATTTTACCCAGTTGCTAACGTTCGCCTGAGTTCGACGCAATGAAGCTTACCGGAAATGACGTGCGCTGTAAACTATCCTCCACTTCGAAATGAGAGGTGTCCACCCAGACAAAATGGCTTTTAATGCTAAATATTTGGAAGTGTGGCTGAACGGCTATTTTCACTTCCTCCGCTGCTGCCGTTGCTATAACTACAGTCAGGCGAGCGTTATAAAACGGCGCAGAAGATGACGTCATCGTTCAACTTTGACCGGAGAAATCCCACACGGAGCGGGCTTGCTAGGCTAGCTTAAAGCTACAAGCAAAGCAAGCGCTTCTTTATTTTTTAGCTTTTAAAAACGTGCCTGTGCTTGTTTTAAAATAATAATAATAATGGTAATTTAAAAAACATAGAAAATGACTGAATGTTTCTGACTGCGTTCCCAGTTTCGTGTGTCCTAACTGTGGGAAAAGAGCCATAAAAATAATAAATATTTAGCTTGGAAAAAAAAATTGTTAAACTAAATATTTAGTTACCAAACTAAGTATTTAATTTGGACTAAATATTTAGTTTGAAAGGAAAATATTTAGCCTAAACTTAAACATTTAGTTGGGAACTAAATATTTAGCTTCCTATATTATTTAATTTACAAGCTAAATAGTTGTTTTAAACTAAATATTCATAATTATTCCTTATAAATCTAGAATAAGATGGTGAAAATATGACTTGAACACCCACATTTTTCCTCTGACAGGTTAAATAAAATTATTACTGTTAATTTTTTCACTGTGTAACTTTACAAACGGCATTCCGTACGATATTCCTAATATTTAGCAGTTTGTTTTTACACTTTGCGTTTGATTATACAAGGTGTTTCTGGTTAAACAATAAATGAAAACTGAGAAAGCAGGATGCTGTAACTGTTAAATATTCGTCTCTGTGGAGCTTCAGGGTAAACTCACACCCCACTTCCACCAGCCTCACCGCTTTCTGTCCTCCCGCTCTTCAAATATAAACCTGCAGCTCTCTGACACAGCAGGGCAATAAGGACGGAGGATGGACAAAATGGACTTTAAATATTTCCCTTTTTGCATTTTTTAGTTAATCTTAACATTCTGCATGGTTTTGATGTATTACAACCCCTTGTTTTGTCCCTGAGAGGTCATCAGACTTCAGTTTGTGCACATGTTCAATTCGCATCCAGGATCAACTCAGGAAGTGAAATTTAGACAACAAACAGGGAATCCAAACCTGAAGAGGAACTGCAGGGAAAATGGGTCCAATCTGGTTAATTTTGAAACAATCTGGCCACAGTATTGGTAAAATTCAGTGATTTGTTGTGCAGAAAGCTGTTTATTCTGATCTGTAAAGTTTCTTTTATGTAAATGAAAGTTAGATTTAAAAAAAAAAAAAAAAAGTTTTTATGAGACCTGCAGAACTTCACGTCCATTTTCATCGTTGTTTTCATGGCTGTACAAACCGCAGCTTCGAACATCTTTCACCTTTTCCTTTCTGTTTTTGCTTCTCACCTCCAGTAATCTCAAATATCTTCTTTTCTGTAACATTTAAGTTTAGGTAATTGAAGCTTATCGGTGTAGGATCTTTTTAATCAATCAGGGATGTTTTTGCACCATGCACTGTTGCTGGGTAGTTTTAGATCCATTACATTAAAGTTACTATAACTAAGATTAGATAAGAAAATTACTATTAATGGTATTTTTATTTGTATATCTTTTTGTTTTCATCTCTGTTTCAAGGTAGAAATAAATATAGAGTTTGTATATTTTGTGTTTGGGGTTTTCTTTGCATCTTGTATCTGGAATAAGTATCCAAAATTATTGACATTATGGTATCATAGCAAACATTTTCCCTCAAACTCAAATTGAATGGAAATTATTTATTTTTAAGTCTTGGTTTTCTGTTGGATTTATGTCTTCAGTCAGAGGCCTCTTCAAATTTGCTGTAGTACAGACTGCTACTTAACTTTATATTTTGGTCCATCTGATGATGTAATTTTTAAATATTAAATGATTGATAATCTGATCAGTTACTCTCTACTTCAGTAGACTTTTTACCAAATACTTTTTTACTCTAATTTGAGTAATTTTCTGGATGGCTATTTTTTACTTTTTCTTTAGTAAAAATATGTAGAAGTAGCATTTCTCTTAATTGAGTATAATTTTCTATATTCTGCCCTCCAGTCCATGTATAACAGGGTAGATTAATTTTCAAAATGTTTTGGTGTATTTAATATTTACAATACGAAACAATAAATACCAGCATGTATGTAAACATTTAACACAGATGCTGAGAGGACGGAGCTCCTGTAACGCTCTTTTGTGCGCCTAGGATGCTGAAAATTAATGCAACATTGAAAGGAAATAAATCTGTTCATGTTTATAAAGAGACACATATTCTAGGATGTGAGTTCATTAACTTATTTATCCTGGGAATGCTGCTTTGGCTTCGTGAGACACTTTTTCTTTAAAAACCGAAACTATTCTGAACAGAAACTTCGCTCAGCTGCCAACACAAACTTTCTCCTCCTTCACAACTGCTGATTGATTAATGAGAATCATCAATCATCCTGTTTATAAAAACATTACTGGCAGATCTTCCATGCAGACACATCAGCTTTCTGTTCACGGAGGCTCAAATACTTGAGATACTTTAGGATTCCCAGAGCCGTTACTTTGGATTGTTTTCCAGTTCAAACTTGTCCACAGTATTGAAGACTGAATTTCTGGCAAACATCCAGATTACAGCAAGCGCTTTTTAAAGTTAAACTGTGACTCTACTAAAGGTTAAATCAGCGAAATTAACCATTATTTATTAACTTATTGTCAGTACAGGTTTTAAATATGTGATCTGACTGTGATCCGTTTCCCCGTTTGTGATTATTTTGAGCAGGAGTGATGTGTCAGTCATGGCCGAGGCAGCTGGATCTGCCGGCTCATTTTGAATGAACAGTCAAAGCTGATTTACACTGGTTTTAATTTTGTGTCATGAGTAAGTAAATTTTTTAATACAAAAAGAAAGAAGTAACATTACTGTCTAAGCTATAAGATGGTTAAGACTATTTAGGATTAGTTCTATACACGTTCAATAGCTGAATATCATAATATAACCTAATTATTAGACCTTTTTTTCCCTCCCGTTTAAAAGTTGGAAAAACAGACAAATTCAGCATTAATCAGTTAATGTTTTAGAGCTGGTATGGTTTAAAAACCAAGTAGAGCAGATTTTTAAAATTATATTTAGAGATTCTGACTTCTCATTATGAGATGGGGAGAGAGAAAAAGTGTCAGAAATGTCGGGGGGGAAAAATTAAATTGTAAAACTTTGTGAGCCACAAATACTTAAGGCGTAATTTAATTAATTTAATCAATGTTCTCCACAGAGTTGGCACTGTGAAAAGATAGCATAAACTATAAAGAACTGGATTTTAATGACTAAAATACTAACTATGTGTCTTATATTTTAAGATTAACTTAAAAAACAACCAGTTTAGCAAACTATTCCTCCAATAAAATATAGTTGTGTTCCGGTTTCTGTGGT